CGGGCAGGGAGGACCCCGGCCCCTCTCAGTAGCCTCCCACGGGCAGAACCATTCCGGCCGCCTTCATCTCCAACCCCATAGCTTCACGGAAAACGGCATTTCGGAAGGTTTTGCAAAGTCGCCCCTGGGCCAGGAACCGCTGCAGAGGAGCCCAGGGAGGGCAGCGGGGCCGGGGACAGCGGCACAGAGGTTTCAGCACCCCCGGAGTTTGGGGCTGGTGGCTTTTGTTTGCACTGACATGAACTGGCCCGTAGCCATGGGATGCAGGCCTTCAGACACTCTTTGGCCTGGTCTTAACGCTGACCAGATTGCTTTTAGTAGCCTTTTGGGGACGGCAATTTAATTCTTAGGAGTATTTGTTGCTGAAACACAGCCCCACTTCTCCCGGTTATGTTTCTCTTCCCATTTTTCTGATACTAAAACGCTGCCGCTCCTCATGAGGAGATGCACTGGGGCCAGACTGATGCTGTCCAGGTTAGGATGAAGCCCGAGGTGGGAGGAAGGATTAGGAAGGGTTAAGGAGAAAGCAGTGGAGAAAGTTTGTGCTCGGTGTGGATCCCTAACAGCTGCCTGCACCCTGCCTGGTGCTCTGCCTGCCCGCTTTACAGGCTAAGGATCAGCACAGGGGCAAAGTGGCTGCGGGAGGGAGCAGGGAAGAGTCATAAAGACGGCGCGGGTGGCGTGAGCGTTGTCTGGGCTGCTTCAGAAAGCTTGTTCCTCTGTCTTCTGAGGTTTCAAGATATACCGGCTTAGGAGAGCTCTGGTAGACTGGATTATTGAATGAGGGAGGTTTTGGGGGGGTCTGTACTTCAGAGTAGGTTGAAGGAAAGGATGCTGGTCCCCCAAGATGTTTGTGTGTCTGCTTTGGAGTGGGTTGTTGTTTTTGTTGCCTGCCTATTTGGTCCTTTGAAGGAGAATGGGCTCCTTTCTTAAAAATTCTCATCAAGGTGGAGGAGGCTGTGGAGGCGGCCGGGAGCAGCTCGGGTGCTCTGGCAGGCTGTGGGTAACACGGAAAGGAGGCAGCGCGGAACGTCAGGGCTGAGCAGCGCTGGCAGAGCTGTGTGGGGGTGATGTTTCCTGACCACGTGCCGGGCTTCAGTATCTTCCTGTTGAGAAGCCTAACCTGTAGCAGGAAAAATAACCAAGGTGTTTCGGGTTATTTGCTACCACACCCTGGGACGTCGGCTGGCCCTGGCTAACCCTTCCCCTTGCACTGAGTTGATCCTGAACAGGCTGAGCCCCTGCCAGGAAGGCTGAGCCGAAGATGATGTGAATGCCTTTCGTAGCCAGCTTCTGTTGCACGGGGGGAGCGAGGCCGTTCGTTTCAGTGTGCGTAGGACCCTTAGCGTGCACTGACCTTTTTATAAGAGAGGAATTACCTGTCCCCCTATTGCTCTGGGGAGAGATGCCTGGGGTCCCCCGGCAGAGTTTATTTTGGATGGCTGTTGTGCTGGGTCACTGGTCTCATGCTAAATTTTGCAAAAGTCTGCACTACTGATTTATGAACTGGCAGATTGCAATGCAGCTTAGTCTATAAATAGCCAGAGTGTGGGGGGGAAGGATATTAATGCTGAGCATGGCCCCATGCCAGTTCACTGACTGTATCTCTAGCTGCAAGGCATAGCAGGGAGGGTTTTAGGCAGCGTGTAGGGGTATGGCAGTGGGGAGGAAGTCACTTTTACAGGGTGAAATATATCTCAGACTGCTTCATGTCATATGTTTGGGATGGGATGTGACAGAAACAAATGGAAAGCTATGGCTTTCTGGGAGCGGCTGGCTCAGGCCGACTGTCTGCTTCCTTTCCCTCCTGCTCTCTTTGGGCTCCCTGGACCAGCATCTGCCGGTGAGGAAGGATCTGTGAACTCTGAGGCCTTTCTCCTCCTTTGCAGGACTACTTGGGCCTTGCAGGGTAGGTTAGAAAATTTCCCTGCTTGGCTTGTCCTTCCTCTGGGGCAGATGATCCATCCATCTGCTTTGCTCAGAAGTTGTGAAGGAAAAATGGCTGCATGAGGTTGACACTCGCTGTTACTGGATGCGTGTCCAAACGATTGGCAGCGAGGCTGGGGCAGGGGCTGGAGCACAAGGCTGGGGAGGAGCGGCTGAGGGAGCTGGGGGTGCTCAGCCTGGGGAAGAGGAGGCTGAGGGGAGCCCTCATCGCTCTCTGCAACTGCCTGA